CCCGCCCCCCGGTGGGCTGAGCTGGCCACACACAAAAATAAATAAATAAATAAATTTTAAAGAGTTAATGGAGCAAGATACACATTCTTTGGAGCTGAGCAGTCCCCAGAGAAGCACAGGGCAGGTGAGAGAAGAGGGAGAAGGAGCACACGATGAGAGACGGTTGGAAAGACACAAATGGGCTCAGCGGGGAGTGGGGCGGCAGCAGAGCCCTCAGGCCAGCTGGGAGGCTCAGCGCCCTGGCAGAGGACAGAGCAGCGCCCTGCACTGCCCACTGGCCTGCTCGCCCTCCCTACCCACCCCAGTGCCCACCATGGAAGTAAAGGCCTCTAGTTTGAGGGACACTGCATTTATAAAACCTTACTTACTCCCTGTATTTCCTTTTCCTGTTCCTCCTTCTGTGTGGTGCTGGGAATGGGACACAGGACCTCACGCCTGTCGGGCAGGGCTCCCACCGATGCTGCACCCCCCAGCCCGGCCCAGTGACCTACCTGCCCAGTGAAATGCCCCTTCTTACTGAAACTCCGCTTCTTCTGATTTCCCTCCAATCTCTGGAAACTTCTCTAGTGTTCATTTTCGGTTTTCTCCTTTGCCCTTTCCACGTGGGGCTCCCTGGGGCCCAGGCCGCCTCTACACCATTGCTTAGATGTGAGTTTACCCGGCTCCCCAGCTCTAGGGCCCCGCAAGTGTGGCCAGCAGGCTGGCCCGTTCTCCTCTGCAGAGCGACCAGCCCGGTAGCGCAGCAAGCGTGTCAGCAGCTGCTGGCTGCCTGAGACTTCCATTCCTTTATTAATTTTTTGTCTTTTTGACACAAGGTCTCACTAGGAGTGAGTTCAGGGGCAGCCTAAACTGCATAGCAAAACCCTGGCTCAAAAAGCTGCATAAATAGTCATTATCTCATACCCCAAGACAATCATTAACATTTGACACACTCCTTCCAATCATACACGTTATAAATTGGTACTTATTTATAAAATTGGAATATATGTTTATAGTCTGTTCTTTCCCACTTCCTGATTTGTATTTTCCCACTGCATTGAGATTGACTTATTTACCCATTGTGTATTACTGAACATTTAGAGGATTTAAAAAAAAATTTAGCTATCATAATTAAATTATAATAAAGTATAGGGTGCCTAAACCTTTAATCACACATCTGATCCTTTCAATGGGCTAATTTGAGGCTGGCCTTGAGCTCACTTTGTAGCCCAGGCTGGCCTCGAACTCACTGTGATCTTCCTGTCTCAGCCTCCTGAGTGCTGGAATTACAGGCATGCACCACCACACGTGACCCTGAGACCCCTATTCCTAAAAACTACTCTCATATTTTCTTTTCTTTTTGTGGAACTGGGGATTGAACTCAGACCCTTGCGCTTGCCAGGGAAGTGCTTATTCCATTGAGCTATCTCCCCAGTCCCTCTCATACTTTCTGACATATTATAAAATAATCTTAGCACTTTAAAAAAATTTTATTTTATTTATTTATTTATTTTTTTAGCAGGGTTTCACTATGCAGTTCAGGCTAGCCTTGGAAGTCAGTTTGTAGCCTAGACTGGCTCCGCCCTTGCAGTGATTCTCCTGCCTCAGCCTCCCCAGTTGCTGGGATTACAGGCATGCACCACCACACCTGGCCTTAGCACTTCATTAATTATTCGGATTATTTAAAAGCCCTACCTGTGTGTTTCAGCTTCTTTTTCTCTCCTCATTTGTGCCAGACGCTTTTTTGCTTTGATAAATATTCGAACCTTCTCATCCTCCTCCTCTTGCTGCTGCTGCTTAACAGCTTTGATGATGTTTTTATCACACATATGTGCCTTGGGGAGATAAGTATAAATTATTCTACAACAAAGAAAAATATCTTTCAACATACCAGGAGCTAACAAGAGCTGGTCAAATGGCTGTAGCTTCTGACCCAATTACTTACTCCTTTCTGGGAAATTTATCCCATTGAAATGACCCAATGTGTGAATAAAAGTTTAGGCACCATGTGCTTTATTTTAACCTAATTATCATATCAAAAGAGAAAAATCCCTCTAAATGTTCAATAATATATAATGGGTAAATAAGTCATAATCTCAATGACATGGGAAACTACAAATAATCAGCAAGTAGGGGACAGTAGACTATTAAAATATTAAAATATGTTCCAATTTTATAAATACAACTAAGTACAAGTTTATTTTATTTATTTATTTATTTATTTATTTTGGTACCAGGGATTGAACTCAGGACCTTGAGTTTGCCAGGCAGGTACTTATACCACTGAACTATCTCCCTAGAGAACTAAGTACAAGCTTATTTTTTTTTATTTTTAGGACATTTTTTTATGACTGTTTTACACTTTTTAAAATTTATTTATTTTTGTGTGTGTGTGGCCAGCTCAGCCCACCAGGGGGCGGGGCTGGCTGGCATGTGGTGCTGGGGGATTGAACCGCGGTCCCTGTGCTTAGC